AGAACGAGGAAGACCCTCGACAAGATGGACTGACAGTGGCTGCAGCAGTGAGCCGGTGCAGGCCCTGGAGGTGCCTCCTTCTCTAGCACACTGACAGCCCGGCTCCGAGTTGAGGGCACCTGACACCAGCAGCCACCATCGGGGCGTCAGCGTGTTCTGATGGGACATCCGGGGCTCAGGTATAAAGGGAGGGTATTGATAGCTCCAGACAGCACGAATATATGCACCTCAGTCCAGTAGCACAGTGACTGGCCAAGGGCAAACACCATGTTATTCACTCTCATATTCTTATCAGTTATGTGGTCACCAGATGAGCCCTGGGGGTGCGGTGGGTTTAGAGTTCAGTTCAGTTCCATAACTGGTGGTTTGCATCCACCAGGCATTCCAAATGAGCAAGAGGAGAACTTCTGCTCCCACAAAGATGTACAACGTGGGAAACTCTACAGAGCAGTTCTGCTATAAGACTATAGGGCCGCTAAGAGTTGAAATTAAAATACGGGCTGGGTATATAGTCATTGGTTATATATATGGCTCTATTATTTTATGTTATAGGTTATACACACTTGCTAATATATGTACATAAACAAATAAAAACCAACAACCCCAAAACTCTTCAAACTCACTGCCATGGATTCTGACTCACAGCGATCCTATAGGACACAAGGACCCTATAGAACTTTCTTTATGGGTTTCAGAGACTGTAGCTCTTTAGGGGAATAAAGCCAATTCACCTTTCTCCCACGGAGTGGCTGGTGATTTCGAACTGCTGATCTTATGGCTTGCGGCCCAAAGCGTCATCGTAACCCACTACACCACCAGGGCCCCATATGTCCATAGGCATGTCGTGGCTGTGTGTATATATGTGCGTGCACAGAGGCATGCTTCATAGGCTGAGTGAGCCAGAAGTCATGGAATGGTACGGAAAGGAGATGGATAACCTAGCCCATGAGGATCTCAAATGGGGAGACGAGTGAAGACCTAGACAGCCATCTCTCATCTCCCATCAGCAAATGCTTGAACCTGTTTTAAGCTTTGTCAGGCAATGAAAGGAAATTCCATCACAAGTCGTGTGCTGAGGAAGTTTGAGTTTTACTCTGTTGGTCCCCTGAAAAGAAGGTAAAGCTTACTGAAAACCACACTTAGGAGCCCAATGGGCCAAACCTTTTCCCACCTACCTTTTCGATTAACTCGTAACTCTCCTCAAGCTTGAGCAGCCTGTTCTGCACAGACGTGGACGCCCGCTGATAGACAGTTCGCCACTCCTGGAAGTCGCTCTCAGAGATCTCCGCCACGGCAAAGCACAGCGTCCTGAGGCCTGAAAGAGTACATACCCCCCTGACACTGAGCAGGCTGCATTCACAAGGTGGCCACTTTTATTTGAAAAATCTCATTTGAAAATAACAACAACACAAGAAAGCAGATTCAATTCAAACAAAATGCTGACTTCATATTCAATATGACAAGGCCGTAGAAAATGCCTATCAATGTTCTCTTCAAAAAACCCAAGCTCACTGCACAGTCAATTCTAACTCATAGCTACCCTATGGGACAGGATAGCATTTCCCTCTGAGTTTCCAACAATGTAACTCTTTGTGGGAATGAACAGACTCGGCTTTCTCCTATGGAGCAGCTGGTGGTTTTGAACTGCTGCCCTTGCAGTCAGCAGCCCAATGCTTAACCACTAGGCCGCTTCTTGCTTTCAATTGCCATGTCTAAAATGAATCACCATGTCTAGGATGGACTTTTAAAAAACTCTCATCTTAATAGATTATTGATTACTGCATGAAATCTTCTACCAGTCCCCAGGATAAAGTTTAGACCCCCAAATGTAGTTCATATGTTTTATCAACTGCTCAGCCTCACTCCCCACCATTCGGTTCCAACACACCAGGCTCTCACACTGGTTACTTTGTCTCCCTTACACCCCTCCACCGTGTGCCTGGCATCTACGTCAGATTAAGCTCAATGGTCATGTCTTACAGCACCCTCCTTCCACCCAGACCCCATACGATGAAATCCTACAGCACCCACCCCCAGCCATTAAGTCCATTCTAACTCATTGCAGCCCTACAAGACTGTATGGAGCCAGCCAAGAGCGTTCGACCACTGTAACCCCTCTGGAATCAGACGGCTCCATTACTCCCCTGCAGAGTGGCTGGCGGGTTCTAGCTGCAGAGGGGCAGCCAGTGCATTTTGATTTTCAGCTGAGTGCTTAACTACTGTGCCACCAGAGCTCCTACCAAGACACTTGCTGCTGGTAAGTGCTGGCGAGTGGGTTCTGAGCCACAGCAACTTTCTGTACAGAGAACTGCCCGTCTGGTGCCACACTCACCAGTGTTCTTTGCTCTGAGCTCACTGTTGCAGCCAAGGCATCAACTTAGCCGGATGAGGGTCTGTCTTTCTTTCGCTGACCCTCAATCCTGCCAAGATGACGTCCTTCTGCAGAGTCTGGTCTCTCCTGAGTTCAGGTCCTCTCGTGAACGGAACAGGACCACAGTGCCCCTAGCATGGTCTTTCTGGAGGGACTCTCAGACCGGTCGCACCTTACACGCAAGGGGCCTTGATTCCTTCACCCTTGACCAACTCCAGCAGCCGGCTCTTCAGAAGCTTACTGTGGCTGACGAAGACAGGATGAGGCATCCTAGTGAGGTCTACTGGTAAAGCCGCCTGCTTCTCTGTAGGAGGAGGAGCTGAGCTGGGGGGGGGAGGGGGGAAAGCAGTGGGTGGGGGGGGGCGGTGTTACACAATGGGCTGCTAACTCAGGTTAGCCATTTGAAACAGCTCGCTTTCTGCTCCGTCACAATCTAAGCGACAATCTCAGAAACCCCCAGGGATGGTTCTCCTCTGTCTTAAGGGTCGGTGTGAGTTCAAATCACTCTGATGGCAGTGAGCGTCTTTAGTCTTTACCACCACAAATTTGTAGCATGAAGAGTCTAAGTGAGGGGCAGTGTTAGAGGAAGCTCCGCAAAAACACCCTGGGCAGCGGTTCTCAACCTGTGGGTTGTGACCCCTTTGGGGGTCAAATGACCCTTTCACAGGGGTCGCCTAAGGCCATCGGAAAACATATTTAGGAACTGAGACACCGCTCCTCTATCCATCTCCGACCCACATGCAGATACGTCCACATACGAGTACCCGGTGTGAAGACGCCTACCCATGCTACACCATGCTTCAGGACAAACTTTCATGGATTTGTCATTAGAAATCAATATTTCACAATATATACTTATATATTGTTTTTGTGATTAATTACTATGCTTTAATTATGTTCCATTTGTAACAATGAAAATACATCCCGCCTATCAGATATTTACATGTATAATAGTAGCAAAATGACAGTTATGAAGTAGCAAAGAAAATAATTTTATGGTTGGGGTCACCACCACATGAGGAACTGTATTAAAGGGTCGCAGCATGAGGATGGTTGAGAACCGCTGACCTAGGGGAAGACGGTCAAAGTGGCAGTCTGAGGAGTCCTCCCACTGTGGTTGCTGACTCACTGGAAGCTACATGCATCACTCACTTGAAGGCTACATTCAGCCAGGACAAAGTAGAATGACCAGAACAAGGAAGAGCCCAAGGCACCCGTCAACCTTGGAAGGAAGTGGAATTTTGGTTCCCACCAATATGCTGACTCATGATCATATAACTCGAGGACCTAGGACCCGATGCCAGGCCTGGTGGCCCCAAGTCACATGACACATGGCCAAGAGAACAGGTCAGAAGCCAGAAGCAATGGGAGGGCATGAAGCAACCAGAAGATTCGATCTTCCAAAAAAAAGGAGTGGCGTGGTCTCTATTGCCAGGTCATGTCTGAGTAGGAACCTCCAAGCTTTCTCCTTTGAAAACCTGGCTGGCACACCATTCTAGGGTAGGCACAAGTAGAAGGATCATTCTGCCCAGTCCCTGAGTGAATGAGGCGGAGGTGTGCAGCAAGCAGCTACAGGATCTCTGAAAAAAAGCTAGGAGCACAGAGGAGAGAGATGCCCTCTCCTACCCACCCAAACCTGTGCTATATCCTGAGGAGGCTGCACTTGTCCAGCCCAGCGGAGACCCAGCCGTCAGGTGTCCAAACGCTATGGAATGCTCATTTCCAGGCTCTTGCATTTTCTGCCTGAGAATCAGGGGCGAAGTCTTGTTTCCCTGCTTTCCAAAGCTCTAGAAAACACCCAGTCCTTTCCCAGTCTGGATGAAGAGTGAAAAGAACCGGATCCGACATCAAGCTTGGCGCCCTCAGCAAGCATGCCAGAGGTTTTGATACAGCAAAGATGGCTTCGGCAGAGTCCCTAAGAGGTTAATGTCTGGACTGCTAATAGAACAGGTGGAAGGTCAAGGCCACCCTGGAAGACAGGCTGCACTATCCAGTGCTGGAAAACCAACCACCGAAACCTGAAGCAGCACAACTCTCATTTGGCACTCTGAATCGACTTGACAGCAACTAGTGGGGTTTTTTTTACCTCTTCTTCTTCTTTTCCTTTTACCTGCTGTGGTTAAATTTAGAGATAAGACTACAAGTTGTTGTGGCCTTGTAACGAACTCTACAGTTTTAATCCCGCCCCCCCCCCCCATTTCCTTTCATCTAATCTAACCCAGTTTGCAGATTATGTGCACTGTCCCAGGTCAAATAGTTTAAGAGTTCAGACTGAGAGAAAGTCTTGTTCACTGCAGATTTCCTCCCGGGCTTCACACAGAGCTTGGCACATGGGAACTAAAACGAGTGAACTACACTGTAATAGGTATGTATGGAGGAGCCCTGGTGGGGTAGTGGTAACTAATGGGCTGTTAACTGCAAGGTCAACAGTTCGACACTACCAGCTGCTCCAAGGGAGAAAGACTGGGCTTTCTACTCCCGTAAAGAGTTACAATCCTGGAATCACCAAAGGGCAGTCCCACTCTGCCCTGGCAGGCTGATAAGAGCTATGGGGTTGCCAGCAGTGGGCATTGACTCCAGGCAGTGAGCTTGCAGTTCCCTTCTTCAGGGACCATCTCATGGGTCTCTCCTGGAGCTGGGAAGCTAAATATTGGCATTGTAAATGGTGCCAATTCCAAAGAACAAATTAGATTTCTAGCCCTGGTGCCCTGAAGAGATGGGGAATAAACTCTCATTTTTTCAAATAAAAACCATTTTAGGAAAGTAAAGTTTTAAAATACTGCATGAGAATAGCATACGGCATAATCTAAATGATGATCAATAACTGATATTTGACATTAGGAAGCTGCAAGATAGGAATAGGATATGCTTTTTCTTTATTTTAACATGTTTTGAGGGAGGGGGGCATGACACTCACCTTCCGTAGCAAACTGCTCCAAATGTTTTAGGGTGATTTCTTTGTACTTTGAGGTCTCAGCCAGTCGATCGTAAATGACTGTGTCCTAGAAAACAAGAAGAAGGTCGAATGCACTTGCTGAAGCATCCTGACTTGGAGGTTGCTGTTGACAGCATCATTTGTTAACAAACCAAAGCAGAAACAACCAATCACGTTTAGCTTTGGTGTGAAAGCACAAACTGCTTCCTCTAAGGAAGGAATGACGATGCTAACCCTGCATTTCAATCCTCTTTGGTTCACAATAACACCATCTCCTACTTGACCAGTACTACACTCACCTTCCTGCCTTCTCCGGCAGGCTGTGCAGACTATTACATCATGCTCCTGGGCACTGCGAGGGAGAAGGGCCTGGTGATCGAGTGAAATGTGACCTAGGCAAAGCCAAAGGGTAGGCTCTGCTGTCATGTTTCTTCCCAGAAAACCAAACTCATAGCTGGGTCAAGTCTCACTCATAGCAGCCACATAGGACAGGGTAGAACTTCCTGAGACTAACTCTTTACAGGAGTAGAAATCCTTATCTTTCTCCCGCAAAGTGGCTGGTAGTTTTGAACTTGGTTAGCAGCCCAAGGTATAACCAGAGTCTTTAAGATGCCAGGGTGCCTGGCGAATCTCAAAGGGGCGCAGTGACATCTCCCCCAAACTCATTTGACACAGGATGTTTTAGAGCTTGCTGTGGTTAGCTGCTGAGCTGACCTTGACTCATGGCAACCTTATGTAAAACAGAAGGCAACAATGCCCGGACCTGTCCCATCTTCATAATTGTCAGCATGCTCAAATCCACTCTTTCAGCGCTTGTGCCAACCCATCTCACTGAGGGTCTCCCATGTCCTCTAGCTCCTCACCAATCGAGATGGCCCCCTCTAGCAGTCAAGCCCTCCTGATGGCAGGTCAAAAGCACGAGAGTTGGACAAGGTTCTTGCTGTGACCCAAATTTCCTCTGGATGGTTGCCAGAAGTAGACTGCTGGCCTGTCTTCCTAGTGCGTCTGAGTCTGTAAGCTCTTCCGAAGCCTGTCCCCTTCGAGGGAGCCGGCTCGTATTTGAAATGATAGTGACTTAGCTTCTAGAATCAGAGCCACCTGCAAGCTACTACCATAGAGCAGAGGGAGAGAAGGTGGGGCTTTCAGAAGTTAGAGCATCTTTATGCATCTGATGTTCCCGGAAACACAGACTGAGAAACACGAGGAATAATCCACCCGAGGAGCCAGTGTGTGCCCATGGGGAGAACCCTGCACAGACGTAGCCCCGCCGTTAAATAACGGAATATTTCTAATTCAGTTACTTGAGGCCGTCAGGTTCCGTGCTCTTAATCGGTAACACGCAATTGGGGGCTTATCTCTAAAATCCTCTTCATCTTTAACTCTGTGCCACCATATGTATTCCGTTTTCCTCCGCTTTAAAAACTGCCCGCTTTGCCTTCCCTTTTGCCTCTGCACTAGCTTAATGTTTTCAGAGTTTTAGTGATCAGCCTGCCTGGTTTTATGAGACCAGGAAAAAATAAATCATCTACCTGCAATTACTTTCTCAGTGGTATGACCCACTCTGTGGTCTCTGGTCTCAGGGCTGGGACGTGGACGCAGACTAATGCAGTATGATTTAGCGCCCTGGACAGAAACAGAACCCAGTGACCTCAGAGCAGACGCAAGAGTCCCAGTCCCAATTATGAATTTCTTTTCATTTTTCAATGAAAAGCTGGGGGAGGGGTAAAGTAAAAGGAAACAATAATTGCGCCTCTTGGCTCTTTCCTTAGACTGAAAAAAAGGTATAATGTGTAAACTCTATTCCCCCCACCATCCCCCACCCCACCTCAGAGACTAATGACATTTTCAATGGCATTAAAACAGGCTATTTTAAAACGAAGAAGATCTAGGAAGAAAAACATCCATGCAAATGAGACGAAGAGTGATAAGATGAGAGCTTTAATTCTGCCATGCAGCCAAACATTGTAATTGGAAGAACTGATGCTCAGAACAGGGGCGATTCACTTTCCCTCTTGTCCTCAGGGTCGAGGAAAGAGCAGAGGACACACCGTGTGCGTGCAACATGGTACATTTTAAAATGTCAGTCACCACTAAGCACGCTCCCACGTGAAGAAGAAAAACAAAAAGCACATGCTTTCACCCACGGAACGGCCTTCCATTTTGCAGCGGGCACACCGTTGGCAAGCAAAGTTTGTTCACAGGAGCAAGAACAGGAGTCTCTCCTCGGCTCACACTCAGAACCTAGAGTCTACGTTTAGGAAAAAAATCTTAACTGGATGGAGCTACCTGGTGTCCTGGCTTTAGCCAAGGTGATCGCTCCCTCCCTCCCATCGAGTGGATTCAGATTCAGATTCATAACAACCCTATAGGACAGGGTAGGACTGCCCTGCGGGTTTCCAAGACAGTGACTCCAGGGAGAAAGCCTCCGCCTTCTCCCTCACCAGACAAGGCAAAGCAGTCCACGCTGGCGAGGAGCTACAACTGGATAGTCAAATGACCATCCCCTACATATTTTGGACATGTGGTCAGGAGAGACCAGTCCTTGGGCACGACATCGTGCTCACTAGAGTGGAGGGGCAGTGCACAAGGGGAAGGCCCACGACAAGATGGGCTGACCCAGTGGCTACAACAATGGACTTGGGCACCGGAGCAGCTGTGAGGGCAGCCCCGGACGGGGCAGGGCTTCCATCTGTGGTGCACAGGGGGGCTCTGGGTCGGAACCGGCTCGATGGCACCTTACAAACAACTACAACAGGGGGCTTGAGAGGGAAGCTGGCAGCTGCTAAGAAAGGTGGGTTGTTCCAGCCTTCCTAGCTGCACCACAGGTAAAGGACCTGGTGGTCTGTTTCAGTCAAGATCACGGCCCCGGAAACCCTGTGGGGCAATTCATTCTGTCACACGGCATCCCTACAAGTTGAACATGGGCGTAAAGCCACCAGAATCAACAACAAAGGATCTCATAAAGCTTCAAGGGAATCTGAATTCATAACTCATAATGTATCTTGGTCACATTTTGTAGCTAATAAGAGGTGGTCCTACTGAAATTCCAGGAGACATCCTCAAAAAAAAAGCCTTCCGCAAACTTCAAAGTAGGGCTCAACGGGTTGTGAAGTTCCCGGTTTACCCCCTGCCTTCCACAGCATGTGTAAGTTCCACAAGTCGGTCGACCAGAGCTCTGCCCAACACCGGGGTGCCCCACACATTGTACAAGTAATACCTACACCTGCTGTCGTAGAGGTGGATGATAGCAGCAGGCAGAACAATAGTAGTCGGGTACCATCTACTTCTTCAGTATTTCTTAATCACTTTTTACTCTTTTAGCTTAGGCGTACCATAGCACATGTCATGATTGATTATTTACTCCCCCAAGGAATCTATTGCCTTCCCCGATTCTCCTTCTGATTTCAGTCTCTTTTCTTTTTTTAATCATTTTATTGGGGACTCGTACAACTCTTATCACAATCCATACATCGATCCATTGTGTCAAGCACATTTGTACATTTGCTGGCATCATCATTCTCAAAACATTTGCTCTCCACCTAAGCCCCCGGCATCAGCTCCTCACTTTTCCCCTCCCTCCCCGCCCCCCCTCCCTCATGAACCCTTGATAATTTATAAATTATTATTTTTTCATATCTTACACTGTCTGACGTCTCCCTTCACCCACTTTTCTGTTGTCCGTCCCCCAGGGAGGAGGTTACAGGTAGATCCTTGTGATCAGTTCCCACTTTCCACCCCACCCTCCCCTGACTCTTCTTCATATGACTGATCAGTCTCTTTTCTTGGATCTTCTTTCCACGTTTAGCCCTGCTCCTCTCTTCTGATGTAGTGTCTGCTTACTGCCTGATTCTACTTTTCTAGTGCTCCGCTCACTCACCCACCCACATACCCACCCATTCACTGCCACTGGGTCAATCCCAACTCATGGGCACCTTAAAAGACAGAGCAGAACTGCCCCTGTGGGTTTCCAAGTTCATAACTGTTTATGGGAGTCAAAAGGCCTTGGGCTTTCTCCTGCAGACTGACTGATGGATTCCAACGACTGACCTCGCATTTAAGAGCCCAGCACGTAACCCACGGTCTCACCAGGTCTCTTTTGTTTCAACTACATGTTAAACCCTAAATTTTCATCAGCCCCCCAGACTTCTCTGCCTTGATGGTCCAGCAGCAGGCCCCCAACTCTACTTGGAAAGAGGCATCACTACCACTCAGCTGCCCAGTAGACATTTCACAATAATGCGAGAACACAGCTTCTCTCGTCAGGCCTAGGTAATCCATTTGTTGTTGCCTGGCGCCCTCCAGTCAATTTCCATTCACAGCAATTGAGTGTGACAGAGGAGAGCCTCCTGGGGGTCTCTGCACGACCGTCTTCGCAGGAGCAGGCTGTCTGGTCTTTTCCTATGCAGGGCCCCTGGGTGAATGCAAATCTCCATCCCTTCGTTAGAGACGAGTCTTGAACCACTATGAGTTCTCTTTCCCTCACTGCCACCGCCCCGCTCCCCCCCATTCCTACTCAGTGACCCTGTAAGACAGGGCCAAACTGCCCCTGTGGGTTTTTGAGACCATAACTCTTTATGGGAGTAGAGAGCTTTGTCTTTCTCCCATAATTTCGAACTGCTGACTTTGCGGTTAGCAGCCCATCTGGAAACCACTATGCTACCAGGGTTCCTAATCCTTAATCTCTCTCCTCTCAATCTTCTTGAACTGCCTGGGTGTGGGTCCTCATGGGCTCTTGTCTGCTCCGTGGTCAGCAGCCTCGGCAGGCAGCTGTGTGTGCGTTTCTGTTTCCTCCCTCCTCATTCTCCCTGTGCTCCCCAACCAGCCTGTGCGGTGAGATCTGGGTGTGTGATGAAACCAGGTATCTTTGTTTTGCAGACAGCCTGATCAATAACCATGCAATAAGATTAAACTTGAAAAATTTAAATAAATTTCCATAGAAAAACAACAAGAAGGAGGAAGGATGATTAGAGAAAAAAAATACACGTTCTTGAGCCTGGGGTGGGGTGGGGTGGAGGCAGGGCATGACATCACTCATGCCTCCAGCTTCATATACTGATGCCCTACCACATGCCAAGTTGTTCTCACCCTGTTGCATGTGTGTGCGCCTTTCGACTACTGATTCACATCTCATAGCCAATCTGGCAGGGGTGGAGGTGGGGATGGGGGTGAGAGGGTGAGGAGCGAGGTAACAATGTGAAAAACAAGTTAATACATGTCAATAATCACTCCTGTGATTATTAAAAAATGCAGATCTGCTGTTTCCATTCTTTGGTCAGTGCCTCAACACCTCGAAGTTTCTCGAGGTAGACGACCACACCACAGAAGGTTTAACGGAAAATCTGAGTTGGGTGTCTATTGGATACATACCGAGCATTTAAAGTAGGGGGGCTCTTATAACTCTTTATTGCGAATTGAATGAAAGTTTACAGGGCAAGCTGTATTTCGTTTTAACCATTCACCCACATGCTGCTTCATGTCCCTGAGTGAAATCCTCACAAGGAAATCACACTTAGTCCATTTCCTCCCTGGTTTGCTCATTTCAATTCCTTACTCCTCCCTTCCCCAGTCTGCCTTCGGAATTTTGTCCGTGGGAATATGCAGCTCCACTGATCTCAAATGGCTGATTCTTCTAAGGAGTGCACACTAGTGTAACCGTCCACCTTACAGACCTCAGCTGAAATTTAAGCTACAAGGGCGAGGTGAGCTCCAGGCCTGAAGGTCACTAAGCACCAGTCTTGAGGGTGCCAGTGGTCTCCATGCACTAGTAGTTCAGGTAATCTTAATTTCTTCTGAGTTTTGTTCCACATTTTTCTCCCACTCTCTGCTTCTAATTCAATACCTTTCAGAACACTTGGTGGTGGTAACTGGGCACCTTCTAGTTCTTCTGGTCCCATGTAATCGAGACTGATTATCACATGGTTCACTAGACTAATTATTTTCATGTTGCTTTCCCCCAGATGGGAAGAGACTACTTCAGATTGACTGCTATCAGCTTTAAAAGAATCTACCTGTTATTCACCAAGTAGAACACAAAACCTTGTCTTTGTGGCCTGTGTTCCCAGTGGATCCTGTGGTCCCCTGAAACTCTGGTCTTGTGTCCCCAAGCCCACAACTCATTTCCTCCAGGTGTCTCGCTTTCTCTAAGACATTCTCATCACCTGTCTCCCTGGAAGTTCTAGGGTAGTCATGACTACATTTGCAACCTAAGCAAAGAGATTCCTTAGTGATATTCTCTGCACGACTTATCTTTATGTTCTTAAGTCTAGTGCATCCTCCTCTCACACTGGCTCATCTTGCATTTTCAGTTATGCGTTCACTTGTGAGCATTGTTAGTGCCGGGCTGTGCACAGAACAGCACTGACGTCTGTTGCCTTTAACACTTACACTCCTCTGCATGTATTCCTTTGCCTTCATATTGTTCTGCTGATAAAATGGGAGGTTTTAAGGCTCATTTTATTTCCTTATTGCTAAATGTTATTATTTACAAAAATGTTATCATTTACAAAAAGAAATTCTTCTTTACGGCATTGTTTTGGAAAAAAGTATCCACATTGCGATATGAAATAACTTCATAAGATGTTTCCCAATTGTACCCCAAATCCATACATATATTTCCCTGAAAAATCTGTGATTTCACTTATGTTTGTGCCTACAGAATCCAGTTTAAAATCTGATAGATGACATCCATCCCATGAATTTTACCTGTCTGAATGAATGAGAACAAGGGGATTCTACAACTAAACGAGTTCCACCAGAACGCTTTCAGACCAAGGCAGGTAAATGTTTCATTTCACCACTTGTAACACCGAGGAAGGCAGTCAAAAACATTCTCAACAGGGATTTAAATAAATACCTTGGTCCTTTTTATATAATTCAATTTTCAAATAACATTTGATAAACCAAATATCTGATTATATTTTAAATCAACAAGCTCCAGACAGAAAGGTTCATACACTGAGGAGCCTCGAAAGACAATTCAAAAAATATGAACAGGGTCTTAACAGCAATAAAAGGCCGTGGTGAGTGGATTTCTCATTTTCCTGTGAGTGTAAGCATGTTCTAGGAGACTTGGGGTTACGGTGGCTAAAGGCTCAGCTGCTAACAAAAAGGGCAGTGGTTCAAACCCACTTGGCTCCTGAGAACAACGTTGTGGCAGCCTGCTTGCGGAAACCCTGTAAGGACAGTTCTCCTCTGCTCTGTAACGTCTCCATGGGTCAGACGGACTCTGCAGGCAGTGGGTTTGGCAAACATATTTAAATAGGAAAATGCATTTATAATGAAATATCACTGTTTCTGTCCATTTTACTACCTGCCATCAAGTCAATTCAAGGTGACCACACAGTGCAGAGTGTTACTGCTTCATGTGGATGCCCGGGCGGTGACCTTTCAGAAGTAGACTGACAAGCCTGTCTTCCCATGTGCCTCTCGGCGGGGCGGCTGACAATCTTCTGCTGAGTCTTGGAGCCCTTCACCATGTGTGCCACCAGGCCCTGTTTCTGCCTACGCTACCATCCAGGTCCGCCAACAGGGACCAAATCTGTCCGTGTCAACAACGAGAGACACATAGCAGTCACCCAGCCTGGAAACCAGAGTCGTCACTGTGGCCCTCCCCTCGCCACTCCCCCGCCACCGCTGCTTCAATGGCCTTTCGAAGGTTAATTTCAAACTTAGTATGCATCATCACCCGCTAATAAATAATACTATCACAATCACCACTTTGTAATAAATCTAATAAAACAACCGCTTACAAATATCTACTGTATCTTATTGTTTTCTCATGCCCTTTCTAGACCACAAACCGCAGAAACTATGTGCCAAGAATTGACTTATATGAAGTAAGCAAAGCTAAACTTTCAAAGCACTGCATTTACGCTGGAGGAATTCCACACGTCACCAGACGGGCTGAGCACGCCACTAAAACCAGCAACAACCGCGCATGTCGGCAGCTTGGTGCGGAACATCTGTGTTACATTTCCGGAGCAGAGTGCCTCCCGTGCACGTTATATACCATCATAAATCAACACTGTACAAGGTAAAAATAAAAACTTACAGCGCCTTTGCAGTAAAGTCGCAACTTCCCGGATGGAGTTCGGACAATCACAGACATTCTCTTCCTTGAGCTGAAAGAAAGCGGTTTTCCATCAAGTGTCAGCACACCAAGAAAGTGCACAGTTACATTTGTCATGCCTCGCTGTTTTAATACTCACGGCAAAAAACACTGATTATGAGCCCACCCTTCCACCAAAACCATTCACCCCCCTGGGTGTAGACTTGGGTACCTCTGAAAGTTACATTGTGTTTTTTAAGGAGGAGGAATTTTGGGAATGGCTCTCAACAAGGCTTGATGCCTACACTAGGTTAGACAAGAGTTCTAGTTCAATGTTCAGATTTGCAAACTATGTAAGCTAGTATCTTAAGAGATGAAGTGTATCCATGGAATTAATTAGAAATTAAAATCAACTGTAACAATGTTTTCCAACCATACATGAAGGCACAATGAATAAATTAAGAAGTACTGGGATGCTAGCTACAAGGTCAGTAGTTTGAAACCACCAGCTGCTCCTTGGGAAGGGGCTTTCTGCTCTACAAAGTGTTACGGTCTGAGAACCACACAGGGACAGTTCTATCTTGTTCTATAGGGTAGTTATGAGATCATATCAGATCAGTGGCATTGAGTTTGGATAATACACACAGTACTTTTATTTCAAAGATTACTAACAAACTATGAAACCATGCATGAATAAAAGTTATGCTTACAAAGTTACACACAAAAGTCACAAACATTTTAATGCTGTTTGTGGCAATATACACTGTTTAGTAAAAATCATCAACTACATAACATCTTTGAATGCTTTAGCAAAGCTGCAAATAACATTAGACAGAACTGGAACAGCATTATATAATATAAGGTCTCATTTAGAACCATATTTGCATAAGCATTCTTATAGTGTGTGTGTGGGGGGGGAGCGCTTTTAAAATGTCCACATCTATTTGTTTTACCTTATCATTTTCTGCTGCTTAAAAATAGAGTTAGGTCCAAAACACAGCAGCAGTCGGATGTAGCAACAGACATGTAATCAGGATTTTATAAAGAGGAATCCAGAAATACCTGAGAGTTCCTTCTAACTCAATTTATACTCATTATTAATATTCCTTTGGGCCTTTAGGGCATGTAACGCAAGAGAATGGTGTTTAAATAACCAGCCGAGAAGGCCCAATTCCTTTTGTATTCGCCAGTGGCGTGTGGTCACTCCCCATGAGGACAGCATGCTGAGCCGGCACAGAGAAGGAAGGACTCTCAGAGCCGGTGGGAGCTTGTCTTGGGGGGGAGAAAGGCCAAGAGAAAGACTTAACACTTATTTTCTTGAGTAAAAGCAGTATTTTCAGGTTACAGCCTTAAAGATCTTGCAAAGTGTCCTAGGAATAGTAATGTGATCTTCAGCTAAAGTCTACCTGCTCAAGAACATCGGTGAACTTAAGACATTACAGGGAAATGCAAGAGTAAAAAGCCCCAAACTCTGAAGTATCATTGACTATAACTGAAGGATTTTGATTAGTTGAGCTTCTGAAATAAAATTAGTTGAGTAATCACTTTATTCTTTGTTCTTTCCTATTAGACATAAGTAGTCTTTTATCTAATGTTGTTAGACTAGACCAGTGGGTCTTAAGCTTCCTAATGCCGTGACCTTTTAATAGTTCCTCATGTTGTGGTGACCCCCAACCATAACATTATTTTTGTTGCTACTCCATCACTGTCATTTTACTACTGTTATGAATCAGACAACCCCTGTGAGAACCGCTGGATTAGATGTCATTGCGTTCACTTAGAGGGACCCCATGTGACAGAAGAAATGTCCCGCAGGGCATTCTGAATTGTAATCTTTTGGGAAGGAGGGGGGTCAGTTCTGCTGGGGAGCCACTGGGTTTCAAACCATCAACCTTTCAGTTAGCAGCCAGGGTTTGATGACCAGGGTTCCTCTTAAGCCTCATTGAGATAAGGATATTATTTCTTAATTCTCAAAGACTATAAGGAATTATGAGCACAAAATTAGAATAGTGGATTCTGACTTGGCTTCAACTTCACTTCCCATGGATGTCTGTGTAAATAACAATGCTTCCTGGTCCCTAGCCCCCAGGCTTCCTCTTGGTCCTCTATCCCCAAACTGCGATAAAGGCAGTTGTGCATTCGCATATTTGGATTCACCCTCCTCTAGTCGTGATGCAATAAGGGGAAGAGAGCTGATTACGACTCAGATACAGACATCCCAATGAAAAAATGGACCCAAGATTTTCCTTCAATATTTTATTTAAATGAATGTATTTAAACGAAAAATTAATTTCTTCTACTTGCTTAAAGGGAAATATAGAAATATATCTCATAAATACCAATAAAAAAACAGGTGCTTTACCTGGTGAACTCCAAGACATTGAGCAATTCATACCTTTCTTCCTGCCCCAGCTGTGGAAGAAAGGAACACATGATTATATCACCTTGGAAAGATTTTAGGCTGTCCGGAAATAGACCTTAGTCATAAAGATGTAATGTAGAAAATGTCAATACAAATCAATACAAATCAATTTCCCTTCTGAAATTTCCTCACGCATCTTCTTTAGCAGAATTTACTAACTTTCAGGTTAAGATGGAAAACTGAACATGCATATTTAATTTCTGCCCTTCCCAGGTCCAGGGAAGTGAATTATTTGATGTGTCTCTTCTAGCCATTCTCTGACTCTCACCACACAACCTTTTCCCTGCTTGGGCCTGGTGAACAGGTAGGGGAAAATACTGCTAGGATTCACTTCTGAGAAATTGTGAACAGGATTCTCTGGAATGCCATCCTGCTGTGTATAAAGCGGGCTCTCCAAGAAGCAGGAGGAGGGATAGAAAGAGCCAGGAGTGGAGTGTGCCCTCTGGGGCCGAGATCCCTGCGTTTTGAACCAACTAGATGAGACAACAGCTATACTGGCAGAGGAGGAGCAGCAGCAGCAGCAGAGCCAAGCGTCAGAGCGTATAACAGTGTGATGGACTTCCCAAGCCACGGAGCAAGTTAAGATGAGTGCTTTTGTGCAGGCGGCTGGCATGAGGAGTGGGGTACCTCTGGGCACTCATTCAGGGAACGAGTTGTGCTGACCCAGGGGTTTAGGATGAATGCCCGTGGGTTGAACTTACAGCAGAGGGGTATGCCCCTTTGGGCATTTCCTTGTAACATGCACTAACAAACAACCCAATCCTGAGCATTTAGCGTTTGTCACTGGCCTTACAACGTGGTGACTTCCTTAATAAACCCTTTCATCCTGAATGCTGTCTGTGGGTTCTGCACAGCCATTGGAATGGATATCAGCAACGAAGGGGTAAATTGGAGAAGGTTAAGGAAGGTGGTACGCCAGGGCTGCTATGGCTGAGTCGGAGTTGACTTGATGGCAGTTGGGTGGGAAGGGGAGGGGGATGGAGTGCCTCCAAGTCTCACTACACGTCAGTAAACCTTTACAAGCCCAGCCTTCCTTGTTCTCTTGGTGGGCTCCCATGGCCAACTTCAGTCGGCAGTCAAGTGGTTAAGGAAGAAGTTGAATTTGCATTTCACAGCCAGTAAGTGGCTTAAAAGAGTGAAACTGCAATTACCTCTGGAATTACCACATCAACCAAACCATGCTCACTGCCGTGAGGTCAGTGCTGGCTCATAGCGGCCACTCTGTGGGTTTCCGAGACTGAGACTGTTTAAAGGAGTAGAAAACCCAGTGTTCTCCCTCACTGCTGCTGGTGGTTTCGAACTGCCGACCGTGTGATCACAGCCCAAACCTGTAACCAGGAGTGAGTAGGAACTACTTGAGAAGCATTGGACCTTCCTACCCACTGGCTGACGACCAGAGATTTCAGTGAGCTGACTGGCACAGTTGAGGATACTGGCACGGTGGGTTTATTCAGACAAACTGCTGGGCTCCAGTCTTCCCTATGTTGTAGCGGCCAGACCTCGTAGGCACAACGAAAGATTACTCTCCGGGAACCCAACCTGCCGAAGCCACAGCAGAGGCTCCCACGTGAATCCCACCCAGATCTCCCACAGTGAAACTCATTATTGGCAAAGGCCTTCTAAGACTCAGAGCTTCCCCAAGAGCTTTTCTGTGTCCCAGGCTCCAAAACAAGGATTCACAGCCATGGCAGGGGAGTCTTAGCCCACCACTCCACAGGAGTCAATCGGAGCAAGTAGGATGGCAATCCCAGGGGGAAAAATTGATCTTTAACCTAATAGAGCAAAAAGATCATTTTTTTGGAAAAGGACATCCTGGTTGGTCAAGTGAAAAGGCAGAAATAATGAGGAAGACCCCCGACAAGACGGATCGACAAAGCGCCGGCAACAATGGGCTCAAACGTCAGCAGGAGGACGGAGCAGGACGGGCCGTGTTTCCTTCTGTTACGTGCAGCCATGGAGTAGGACCGCTGGGCGGCCCCTTAGAACAACAACACTGAGAACAAAACAAAACATTTATCATGAACCACCTTTTGAAAATCTGAGCTGGATACCTGCTTAAAAAAAATAGCTAAAGTTATAGAACCAGTTGTCACCGGAGAGAGAAATTGGAGTAGAGAATCTCTATTGAATCAAATAGTCTTTTTGTACTTAGGAGTCCTAGTGGCAGAGTGGTTATGAATTGGGCTGCCATTGAAAGGTCCAAAGTTCAAAACCACCCGCCGCCACTCCTTGGGAGATAAAAGGAGCTTTCTACCCCTGCAAGGAGTTCCACTCGCAGAAATCTGCTGGGGCAGGTTAACCCTGTGCTACAGGGTTTCTGTCAGTATTGGCTCAATGGTAGTGAGGGCGGTTTTTTGAGTATTTGGTACTTATTTTTATCTTTAAAGCTCTACATAGAGATTACTTTCATTTAAAAGAAACTTCAAAATAAACAACTTACTGAATCTATAATCACCGAGTCCGGAGTTCTTCCAGTGAAAACAAAGTTCAACATCTTGGCAGCTCTGACCAAGGCCCCTTCATCTATTGGAGGCAAGCAGGTACAAACAAACGTGTGGGAAACATTTATCCAAAACACAAAGAGAAATACACCACGGTAAGACACTTTTTGGTTTCATTAAAACACTTTCACTCCAGTCCTCATTATTAATTTTTTTCTTTCTAAATTATAAATGCCAATGGAATGTGCAAAATAAAAGACACAGCGAAATCTTGTCTGAGTTTAAAACCCCAGAGTCATATTTCTCAATGTTCAAGTTCACGGGCACGCATACCTAAATGTACCCTTGGCCGTATACATTCTCTACAAGCCTTTCATAATGTGAGTAGCACACACTTGCTTACGTTTCACTTTTTTCTCTAGGAAGTCAGATGTCAACAATGACTACTACCAACGGTGGGTTCAATGTGTGTGGAATTAAAAAAAACTGAGATTTCAAAAAGTGAGACAGTAGCTGTGTTCCTCAGACCTCATGTTGTCTCTGACCTTCTCCCAGGAGGCAGCGGGTTAGAATAAGATAGACACACAGCTTCTATCCTGATCACGCGAGATGTGATACTTCTCAAGGCTTTTAGATACTGAGCAATATCCCAAAGTCCCAAGTCTAGATACAGTTTGCAGCCCTTACTCACCATGACTACTTATAAAAAAAAAAGTCTCCACTTTGTGTTCCCCCTTTCCTACAATTTTACAATAACCACATTGACTACTTAACTCAATTTTGCACTGAAAATAGGTCCACAATTATGTCTAAATACTAAACCTGAGTAGGTATACTAATAAATATTTTTAAAGAATCTCTTCCACCATGTAAGGACACAATAAGTGCTGTGAATCTGATTTTCAACAGAAAAAAGTAAAATTGGGGCTATAAAGTCATAGATGGTTACTAATTGTTAGGCAAGTCTTCTATTTCTTGATCATTTATGACTAATAGGAACACCTAGGTATTTGCAAAGAGGAGGAAACTCTCTATATGTATATAAGAAAGGATCTTTCTTATATAAATCTGTTCAAATCTGGCACATCAAATTTCCATATAATTCAGCATACAAGTTAGAAAATTAGGTATTTTGGCATACATAAATTTTAATCCTGAAAAGCCGAGTTTTTTTCCATGAGTAAGTAAAATTTTTATCTGAAACACATTCAATTTAGCGATCTTGTTTTTTCAAATTAGGTAGATTTTTTCCCCCAGACAAATCTAAATATTAGACCAATTTACTGCAGGAACCCAATTTGCAGTGGCTTCATTTGTACCTGGAGATGCTGCCTGATAAATGATCTTATCACCTTCCCGCTCTGGTACTGCTGTGTGACAGACTGCCATCATGGTAAGAAATTCACATATTATAGGTGCAGTTGGCTGCAAAAAAATAAACAAACATTTACTTTAGCCCTTTCCATTTAAGCATTTGACATTAATAATAATATTACTTCATGTCTATCTATTAAGACCAGCTGTTAAGAATTGAGGCAGGGGTGGGTTTATAGCCCACTCAGAAGCCAAAACTAACTATGAAGAAAAAACATCTTTTTTTTTTTTTTTGTAACATTCATTCTCACAGTGTCCCATTCACTCTCAAGACATTTATATGAGACAACTGTATTTTGTCAAATCAAGATCCAGGCATAATTAAAGCCTGTCCTAAAAGGAGAGAAAACACATTCTGAAATGTTAGTTAACTGGCTGTGGTAGTTTGAACCCACCAAGTGGCTCCGTGGGAGATGACATTGGCAAAAACCCTGATGGGCGGTTCTGTGTCGCCTGGGTCGCTCTGGGATGGAATCCAACAGCGGTTCTTAGTCACGTTTACACTTTAGGCATTGCATTCTAGCGTGGCTCCGTTTTCTTTGGGTTGGGGCACGTTTGAGAAAATAAGAGGTCGGAGTAGCATGAAGCAAAGCGGAGAGTGGCTCACAGCTGGGCGGGTGACTTAGGCAGGAGCCACATCATGCACCTGTTTTAAGTTTAAAGACGCAGGAAGGTTTTAAACAAGGTAGGATGGGTATCCATTGCTGCACAGTCACCAAGGGCAGTAAGAACTGGGGAGGAGGGAAACGGAAATGAGGAGCTTGGTCGGGAGGCTCTGCAATGAGCCACCTAGTCCTGGGGGGGAGGGGCGGGGATGGTGTCTGGGAGGGCCGTGAAGCCTGGCAGGCGCACCTAGGAGAGGGTCGGAGGACTGAGGAGGGTTTGCGGAGTCATTACACACCTGGAGGCTGGGGACATGGAGGAGTCAACCTATGTTCCCAGCGAGAGAAACAGGATGGCTTGGGCGATGCCATTGACTGAAACTGAGACCAGAGAGGGAAGGGATACGGTCTAAATCTGACTTTTGTGGAGTCTGAAGCTAATAGGTTACAAAAGACAGGAAATAAGTATGTTCGTGTAAACATGACTTGAGCGCCTATCAGGGCCATGTAAATAAACAACAAACAACACAAACAATAACCCAAACAAGCAAACAACCCGGTCCATTCTGACTGAAGGCACCGCCACGTGTGTCAGGATGGATCTGTGACCACAGGCCCTGCAGCGGTGGACTGTCTGAAAATGGGTCACCAGGCCTTCCCTCGGAGGGGCCGCTGGGTGGAGTCCAACGCCCAGCGTTTGGGGTGCAGCCAAGTAGCTCCTGTGGCAGACCTGGCACTGCCCCAGGATTTGAATGAGGCAGGTCATTCATTTCGATCGCTATTTTGAAATTATTTGTGGTGCATTGTTTCATATAAATAGAGAGTTCGATACGTATTTAAATAAAATATCCCACAAAGGCAGAATAACAATTCATAAAACACTAAAACTAAATTTCCAACAACCATGACTTTCATGTGGGCCACACAAAAAGGATTCAGCAGTTATACATTTTGATAGTTACTTAGAGATCATGCATACATATATAACAAAGAACCTTATAAGCATGAAAGCTTGTTCTTCGGAGAAACACGAGCGTCATCTGCTAATGAAGAGATGATGGCTTTATATCACTTACATGATTATTTTGGAGGTTTTCCAGCAGTGATGAATCACTAAAGGGTTTCTCATCTCCAGACTGTGAGCTTTGCCTAGAGGAGGGGGGAAATGAAGCAAACCTGATTCACTGAGACAACAAGCACACTGGTATATTTGTAACTCAAATTTAGGTATATTGGGAAAGGGAACGTAGGAACATGAAAAAGTTTGTGGAAAAACTGGATTAAAAGATAATAGACTTTTTCTATGAATTTTTCAAAGCGCCCCTTTTCTTTAGGCTTGCAAATTCTTAATAGAGTCAATGTAAATTTGGCATGCATTTCTAAATAAGCAACATGTATTTCATATTTGAATCATTCAAAGTGTATTGAGGGGGCAGTGGTCCCCAAATGTAGTGAAAAACAATATTTTATACCCTGTTTTTCTAGAGTACAATTTAATTATTGCCACATGCAGTTTAAAATAATGTCAGAAAAGGTAAGAACGAAAAAATGCTAAAATAGCAGGAATGAGAGTCTTTCTAGCCCAAAAATATTTTCAATAATTTTAGATTTGATGAAGTTGTTTAAAAATATATATACACTTTTATCTTACCCATTTAAGAAATCTTTTATTGTATTGACTAACATTGTATTATAAGGTAAAACATGAAAACAATTTTAATATCATATTACATCATATATCAGCATATCATTAAAATTATCTCAGCAAATATTTATGTACATATGTTATTATATTAAAAAGGGGAAAAAGTCTAATACCAATAGAACGTAATCCAGAAATATCTTAATCACAAAATAGGTTTACAGCTTAGAAAGAGTAACATAAATGCCACAACGTGTCGAATTATTTTAACGCCAACAGCTTGAGCTGAAGGGGAAACCACTGAAGAGAACTGTACAGAATACAATATATTCTGCATCTTCCACGGAATACATTTCTCCCTTCAATGAGATGAGCAAGGTAGTACATTTACAGTACAACACATTTTTAAAATTTACACAGTTTAATTTATTACTTCTCAAAATCATAGTACATCTTTACAAGTATGTATTATTTAGAATTTCCAGAACATCTGTGAGGAGCTGACGAAACATATTACTATTATTCTTATTACTATTATCTTTTCTGTAGTTTAAAAAAATGAAGAGAAATTAAAGATACTTCAAATGGCTTGTCAGAGAGAGGACCAAAACAGAGTATGTCTCTCCTCCAAACTGTACCAAAATCTTAAAACTGCTTCCTGTGTGGGGGCTTAAGATATATGTGCGTAATATATGCTCCCAATTAGATAATGTGCAAGTAAGTATTCTTAGTTATCTCATCCTGCTTGCTTGTTTGATAGATTGAAATGCCAAAGAATAGTCACAGTAGAAACATCTTGCACTTAGAAGTCTAATTTCCTTTCAAAGAATTCTAAAGGAAAAGTCTCTAGAAAATTGGAAGGATATGTCTTGCTAATCTTACCGTCAAGCTTTCATTTCATCAGTAAACAGTTAAAGTAAGCCAGGAAACAAACAAACAAAAACTATCCCCGAATCCCAAGCTCACTGCCATCCAGTCGGTTCTGACAGCAGATGTAAATTTCAAATGCATTTATCAGCAGTAACCCTAGCCATGCAATCGAAGTCTCTGCAATGGTATGTCGCAGTCTCTATTCTCGAAGGCGGCTTCTCCAAACTCCCAGCGATGGAATCATTCTAACTCACAGCCTGTACGGCAGAGTAGAAATGCCCCTTTGGGTTTCTGTGGTAGTTACACAAGCTGCTGTCAATTTGAGGATTAAGCGAGCAGAGGTGGAGTCCAGCCTGTCAATCCAGAGAGAGCCGATGAGGCCTCTGTGTGGGCATGGCCTTCTCTTGAGGATTCTGGGAACTCTTGTATTTCCTTCTTGGAGGCAGGAGACTCTCTCTGTGCTGGCTTGCTGTGAGACACCCCTTAGGAGAAGCCATATGGACCTACCCTGATGCAGCCCTGGGAACTGCAGGAGCAACATGAAGACCCCTGCCAGCGCTGAGATGCTTACAATGCCTCTGGATCCTAAGACTTCCCACCCACTGCTCTGTGATCGTCCTGCACTCAGCGTCACTGCAGGTGTTTCGTGAGTCTGAAGAGGACTTTATATATTGGTATCAGACATATGGAATAATATTGGACTTATGGGCTTGGACTAGACTAGGTTGGGATGCTTTCTTAGTGTACAATTACCCTTTATATAAAACTCTCTCTTATACACATGTACATTTCTAAGGATTTGTTTCTCTAGTGTACCCAGACTATCACAGCTTCCAAGGGTGTAAAGCTTTATGGGAGTACAAAGTCGCATCTTTCTTGCACCAAATTTTTAACCAATGACACCTGCAGTGCCACTTGGCTTCCACCACATATAATACTTTATAGGGACACTTCTCTAAGAAGTGGCTTCCTTCCCAAGGTCATGACAAAACCAGCAACAGCCCATCAGCTCCTCTCAAGAGTCTGGGGATGCCTCAGGCATAGAGGTCCCTCACCCTTCTCCAGAATTTTATAAAACATATACTTTCAGTGGAAAATAAACCAAAATTAGAAAGCTCATGCATTAAAAAAGATTAAGAACCAACTGCATTAAAAATAAAAATAATAATTTGAGTCTGTTGGTTGGCAAGGGTGTATGGATTTGCAAAATTGCCTGATAATAAAAATGTAAGGCAGCATAAACATCTTTTTCATTTCCTCCCTAGAAAACTTTGAGTATAATTTTGTTCCTAGTGGGGTGAGGAAACACTGGTGTCTTGCAAGCAGCAGTGAGACAGAGATGACATCATTCAGGGGAACAGTGAGCAGGAGCTCACACACCTTAGCAACTTGTAGTTTTCAGAGACTGACTACAACGCTCTACCTTACAGATAAGTATTTCCGCACTTGACAAAAACGAAGAATTTCCACAGCAATAAAAATGAAGACAGGAGGCAGATGGCTCAGTCAGTATTCACTAGCTTTATAAGAGACATGATACAGTTTTGAAAGTAGAAAATCCGTAAAAAATAGTCACCTGCAGAAGTGGAACAAAGAAAAAGTCGGATCTATAGTTTTCATCTTAAACAAAGTAAAAAACAGACTGCAGGAGTGAGAAAGTGTTGTTTATAATTCGGGGGGGAAAAAGGGCAAATCTGACCACAAACGAAGTGAACTGTTTCCACAGAGCAAAAAGACAACCATTTGGGCAGAGAGGTTTCAGCTCATCTCCGAAACAGAAAGAACTCCTGCAAGCCACGAAGACAACGACCCACAGTGTAACAGAAAACCAACCAAGGCCACCAGCCCCCAGCTCACAGATGGCTTTACACAGAAGGTTTCCAAGAGCTCACGGAAGAAAAAAAAATCCCATTATCTTTTCATTCCATTTTCCATGAACTCTTTGAACTCCCCTTATAGAGGTTCAACCTTACCTAACATTGAATGAAATGGTATTTTTTTACTAGCAATGAAAAGAAGTATAAATTAGGTGGGGGTTTACATTTCAGACCATTGACGTTGTATTCAACAGTTTAAACTAGTAATCAATGCCCCTCTAATAGTTCATGCATGCTCCCCTCCCCCCTTGACTTCTCCTCTCCCTCTTCTGGACCACCACCTTCCATTTCACCAAGTGAAGACTCGGCAAGAGTCTAGCCCATGGTTTTATCTCCTCTCCCCACTCACTTTTGACCATCTCCACAGTCTGCTCCTACATGCCAGGAGGTGGTTTCATTGCTGGTTTTCAGTGCTGCGTAGTATTCCACTGCGTGTGTGTACCACCAATTTCTTTATCCATTTCTTCTACTAATGGGCATTTAGAGTGTTCCCATTGTCTTGTTCTTGTGAACAGTGCTGCGATAAATGTGGGTGTGCATATGTCTGTTCACATTAGGCCTGCCAACTGTGTTGTGGGGATATATATATATCCCCAGCAGAGGGTTTGCTGGATCATATAACATCTCTATTCCCAGTCATTGGAGTTAGTGCCCTCTCGCTGAGAAAAATGAAATTCAAATTTACATATATCGGCCACATTTACATATATAAAAGTAACACTATACTGTTGTAATTCAGGAAAACCAATCAAATCATCTACTGTTAGTGAAAATATAAATCGGTACAACTTCCCATAAAGGTTGTTCGGTGCCATCAAGACGGCTCTGGCCCACAGCAACCCTGTGCACAAGGGGCTGAAGCGCGCTGTGCTCCGGGGCAGCCTCACAAGGGTTCTCCTGTTGCAGCCCCAGGCGGCAGCCCCTGTGTCGGTCCCTGTTAAAGGCCTTCCTCTTTTTCTCCGCCCTGGTGCTTTAAAACGCAGGACCTCCTTTCCCAGGGACTGGCCTCTCGGACGGGCCCCAAGTCTGAACGTGAAGAGACATCTTGCCCTCCTTGCCTCTGCATGCTGCCTGCACGTCTCCCAACTCAGCTGTTCCTTCCTCGGGCTGCCAGGGCACTTTCAACATTCTTTCCCAGCATCGCAACTCAGAAGGGGCTGGAGTAATTTATACCAACATTTAAAATTCAGAAGCCCTTTCTTCTAGTAATGCCAGACCTAGGGATTTATATTATTTACCCAATACTAAAAGTTCCAAGTTTATTATTTGAAGCACTTTCAAATAGCCAAAGATTAGAAACAATCCAAGCGTCTATCAAGATGTCAGATACATGGCAGCACAGGCACACAACAGAATGCTGTATACCAAACGGGGAGCTCTTCCTGGGTTCTGGAGATGTGGATGTGCAGTTAAATGACACAGCTGGTGCGAGAGGGGAAAATACATGTAAGCATTAGCACAGAAAGGGCGGATCTGGAAGGATACAGCTGAACTGGTCACGTCGGCTGCCTTCACAGGGAGAAATGGACCTAAGACAAGGATGGAAGGGGAATCTTTCCTCACGAAGCCTCTGAATTTGTGATATGTTAATGCCTTAGGAGGAGCCCTGGTGGAATAGTGCGCTACACATTGAGCTGCTAACCACAAGGTTGGAGGTTTGAGCCTACCAGCAGCTCCGTGGGAGATAATGGAGACTGTCTGCTCTTGTAAAGTCTCACAGAGCCAGAAGGAGCTAGAGATCTGCTCCATAGAGTAGCAAG